CCGCCTCCTTGATGCAAAAACTTGAACCAAACTACCGGAGGAGCACAACATGGTCCTCGGGGCCGGATGCCTGAAGAAGCATTCTCATGCTATGTGATGGGGGCATGATGTTTAGTGGGGTGGGAGGCATTCTCATGCTATGTGATGGGGGCATAATGTTTAGTGGGGTGTGGGAGGCATTCTCATGCTATGTGATGGGGGCATGATGTTTAGTGGGAGTGTGGGGAGGCATTCTCATGCTATGTGATGGGGGCATGATGTGTGTAATTTCATGAAAAGAACATGAACCGGACTATGAGAGAGCATGAGAGGAACATGAGAGAAACCATGAGAGAGCATGAGAGGAACATGAGAGAACCATGAGAGCATGAGAGGAACATGAGCCGGACCATGAGAGAGCATGAGAGGAACATGAGAGGAACCATGAGAGCATGAGAGGAACTGAGCCGGACCATGAGAGAGCATGAGAGGAGCATAAGAGGAACATGAGAGCATGAGAGGAACATGAGCCGGACCATGAGAGAGCATGAGAGGAACATGAGAGGGGACCATGAGAGAGCATGAGACGAACATGAGAGGGGACCATGAGAGGAACATGAGAGGAACCATGAAAGAGCATAAGAAGAACCATGAGAGAGCACGAGAGGAACATGAGAGGAACATGAACCGGACCATGAGAGGAACATGAGAGGGGACCATGCACCCTCACACTGCCAAGACAGGGGAAGGTGTCCTCTAGGGACCTCCAACATTGATGGAGTGTGAGGGAGGCAGCGTCGGGGACCGTGTTGGCGGACGCTGACACCACCAACTTCTACTCCCATTGCGCTCAATTATATACTCTACAGTACACCCAGCTGAAAGTTTACGGGGTACTCAAGCAGCCACACTACAGTATACCTGGCTAAGAGTTTCACGTGGCACTCTAGTACTCACCTAGTTGTGCTTGCAGGGGGTTGAGCTTCGGCTCTTTGGCCCCCGCCTCTCAACTGTCAATCAACTGGTGAAGGATCTACACTACGGTACTACTAGCAGAAAGTTTACGGGGTACTCACGTAACTACACATCCATTATAACCAGCTGAAAATTTACACAGAACAAAAGATAAAAATAATCGATAATTATAGATTATCGGAACGTGATAAAGCGACTATTTAAGTATAGACAAATAATTGTTGGGTATATTTTAGCAGCTGTTATATAGACAGAAATTAATTATATTATTAATACTATATAATATACAGATCAAGGAATATTAGTAACGGTACTGGTAATATGAAGACTTAATAAAAAGAAACGTGACAGACTTCTTTTACTTCCAAGAGCGTCGCTGAATTATTAAGACCAATCGATCCTAAGATTGATGTTATTGGGAGTGAGAGAGAGATAAGGAGAGAGAGGAGAGTGAGAGTGAGAGAGACACAGATAAGGAGACAGAGAGAGACACAAACAGATAAGGAGAAAGAGACAGACAGATAAGGAAAAAGAGACAGACAGATAAGGAAAGAGACAGACAGATAAGGAGAGAGAGAGACACACATATACACATAAGCAGAGTGAGAGAGACACAGATAAGGAGACAGAGAGAGACACAAACAGATAAGGAGAAAGAGACAGACAGATAAGGAAAAAGAGACACACACAGACAGATAAGGAGAGAGACACACACAGACAGATAAGGAGAGTGAGACACACACAGACAGATAAGGAGAGTGAGAGAGACATTGCCTCACCGCTCACCGTCCTCACTATACAATAAGTTCACCACCATTCCCACTCTCTACCGTCATGGTGAGTGGCACAACACTCCAGCTTATGTTGTCCTGCTCCGATATGCCAAGTTTGGCACTCTTCTTTACCGCTTCTATGTGTGTTCATCTGTTTGCACTCACCTGTTTGTGCCCTCAGTCTCCAGCTTTAGCTCTTGGTCTAGAAGCCTCCTTATTCAAGTTCCTGAAAAATGTTCTGACTTGCCAGCGTATATCTTGAGGTTATCTTGAGATGATTTCGGGGCTTTAGTGTCCCCGCGGCCCGGTCCTCGACCAGGCCTCCACCCCCAGGAAGCAGCCCGTGACAGCTGACTAACACCCAGGTACCTATTTTACTGCTAGGTAACAGGGGCATAGGGTGAAAGAAACTCTGCCCATTGTTTCTCGCTGGCGCCTGGGATCGAACCCAGGACCACAGGATCACAAGTCCAGTGTGCTGTCCGCTCGGCCGACCGGTTCGACCGGTTAAAGAAGCGTAGAGTATGCGGCTGACGTTATTCTATTTATATGAGCCTCTGGAGTTTGGTGTTATGTCCACTACCAGGTATTTTTCTCTAGATGTTATAGGGAGGTAGTTTCCCTTCATCATGTATTGGCCTTTCGGTCTCCTGGCTCCTGTTCCCATTTTCATCACCTTGCACTTGTTAGTGTTGAACCCTATCAGCCATTTCTCGGACCATCTCTGCAACCTGTTTAAGTCATCCTGGAGAATGTTACAATCCTCATATGTCTCAACCCTCCTCATTAGTTTTGCATCATCTGCAAACATCGACATAAAAGACAACTCCTGCAGTCATTTATATAAATGAGGAATAAAATGGGTCCCAGTACCGACCCTTGAGGCACCCCGCTTGTTACTCTACGCCAGTCCGATTTCTCTCGCGCGCGTGCGTGTGTTTGTACTCCCCTAATTGTACTCATCTACTTGTGCTTGTGGGATCCCGCCTGGTCTTGCGGGGTCTGGCTCATTTGTCCCGCCTCTCAACTGTCAATCAACTGGTGTACAGGTTCCTGAGCCTACTGGGTTCTATCATATCTACACTTGAAACTGTGTATGGAGTCAGCCTCCACCACATCACTTCCTAATGCATTTACCTGCCCAGGTACATATTTTCTGCTAGGTGAACAGATGAACCATGGTAAAAGAAACTCTGTCCATTTGTTTCGGCCTCTGAAAGGGATCGAACCCTAATTAGGACTACGATCCCAGAGCGCTGTCCACTCAGCCGCGAGGCCCCATGTGTGGGAGCGTGTCACTAATAATCCTCGTCCCTCTGATGTCCCTCTCATATCCCTCTTGTTCTCCTCTTGTGTTCCTTTCATGTCTACCATGTGCCTCTCACGCCTCTCTCTTCCTCACTCTCAAAGCTAATAATCTATATTGGCTCATTTCTCAGTCCGGTCCAATATGATTTTTGTATTAGTTTTACAGACCCTCTGGAGAGGGAGAAGGGGAGAGTGAGGGAGAGAGAGAGAGAGAGAGAGAGAGAGAGAGAGAGAGAGAGAGAGAGAGAGAGAGAGAGAGAGAGAGAGAGAGAGAGAGAGAGAAACAGGTAGTAAGAAATTGCATACAATGGGAACAATTGAAAACTGGGAAGCGATAAACAACACGGAAGGACAGAGCTAAAGGAGTAAATGAGAGAGGAAAAACAGCATAGAATGGGAAGGGAAGGGAACTATTAGGCCCTATCAGGGTCTATATAGCACTTGGAAGGGATCAGGATAAGGATTTGGGATGGGATGGGACGGGGGAAAGAATGGTGTCCAACCACTTGGACGGTTGGGGATTGAACGCCGACCTGCATGAAGCGAGACCGTCGCTCTACCGTCCAGCCCAAGTGGCTGGGACAGAGGGAGGAAGAGCGAGATGGGAAAAAAGAGAGGTAGAGAAGAAAAAGTGAAGTTGAAAGTAGTGAGATAGAAGATGGGATGAAGAGTAGACTAAGTAAAAGAGGAAGAAAGGTAGAGCTGCCACCATTCATTTAAATAATTTATGACAAGTAATGAAGGGAGGGATTAATCAGGGAAAAATGCCAGGCCATTAAGACTATATAGCACTGACAAGAAATGTAACTCGTCTCTCTCTCCACAGTCATGTGTAACTGATGATAACATAAAATCACTGCAAGATCTTGATCTTGTGTGATTCCTTTCAGAGTTTCGGGCAAGGAACTCGGCACTCATCCTATAGAATTGATCCTATGAAGGATCAAGAGAGAGAGAGAGGGGGAGATGCGAGCTGGGGCGGGGGGGGGGGGGGGGTGGAATTGAGGGTAAGAGATACAAGTAGGCTAATGACCCTTAGCTGAAGGACGACTGCCGGTTGCCATAGTAACTGATGACAAGGTTGCCTGTATTGCTGGTGAGGCTCACATCACGTATACACCATACAAATACTATGATCACCATCTACTATACATTGCTTATCATCTGGACTATAATTTAAATACATAGGCGTTAAATACTGTTTAACTTATTCATAACATACGCTGAAGAAGTTTCCCTAAAGAATCATACCCGTTAAAAAGAATACAGAACTGAGGGAGACGATTTTGTGATACAGTTCATATATTTAGTTCTCGTTATTTCATCTATTCTCAAATACTTAAGTTTCGCTTGTGGGGAATCTAATTTGTTTAGTATCTTTAAGGTCTGGATCAGGCCTCCTTGTCTGGTCTTTGTGTCTTGATGCAGGTGTATTTCTATTTCTTAATGGGGGGGGGTGTTATTTCTTAATGGTGGTGTTTTTTTAATATTGGTGCTTCAGGAGTGATGGGATATAATGGTATCTGCCCTTTCTCTTCTCCTATTTTGGTGTCTTCCACTCTCTCCCTATATCTCCTTTACTCTGTCTTGATCTGTCTCACTCCTCTCTTTGCTCGCTTTCTTTGTCTCTCTTTCTAAATCTTTCTCGTTCTCTCCCTATCTCCCTCCCTCACCACCGCTCACTGACCTCGGAAGACTGCCTGTCTTTTAAGCAGTGCACCACAAAGCTGTTTGTATTGTTGAAGTGGACATTATCTCCTTTCCTGTCTCTTCTGTTCTTTCTTCACTCCCCTCATCCATCTCTCTCCTCTGCTGTCTCCCGTCTCCTACCTTCTCTGCTGGTTCCTCCTCTCCCAT